GTGGCAAAATGGTTATGGTGGATTCGCATTGTAAATGGTGGTGTACCCAGTTTGTTTTGTTTGTCGGGAGTTGATGCACGTGAACGATTTTGTATTTCTGGTGATATAGTTTCTTTTTCAATTGGCATGTGCTTGTAATGAAATAAAAGAAAAACGTAGTTAACTAAGACACTGATAAACTTAATAGGTTGATGCTTCATTATGGAAGACGTAAGATCTTAGGTGAATGCGCATTTAATAACAACTACTAATAGCAATGATTTATCTTTAAACTATATCGAAAACCAGAATAAGTGGATCAGTAATTAATAAAACCTAAGAACGCATAGTACTATCATATATCAAAAAGAAACAAAAATATCAAATCAGGATTAACTAATCAATACAGCTTAATAGCAAATAGTATGGTAGTGGACTGAAGATTCGTTTAGTTGGTTGACATAAGAAATGGCAGTTGTAATTGTTACATCAAAGATACTAGCAAATATTCAGTGATATATAGGTTCAGAAATTGTTAATTAGAAATTCTTCCTTATAGACAAGATACGAAAAAAACTACAATTCCACTAAATGACATTATGTGCCACTTAATAGGCTCTTTTAGTTAGAGAAAAGAACCATATCTATATGAAAAAAAATTCAAAAGGTGTAGAATCATCAACGCGATACGCGTTGTTTTTAGAATACAATGTGTGAATAAAAGCATCTTTTGAAAAAATGTTTTTTGTGCGTTTACCGTCGTATTTGAGATATTTATAGTTATCTAGAGGAGGTTTTCATAAAATGTTCGGTGTACTTTTTGAAGAAAACAGAGGCAAGGAAAAACTTAGAAGAATAATTTCTTTCAGAATCAAGTATATAATGATAAAATGATATCTAAAGAATTATTTTGCAATTACATTAGGTTACGACTCTACTAGTGAAGTTTTTATAGCCATACAAAGAAGATCGTCGAGTTCTGATGTAAATTGTTTGTTATCTTTGTAGAAATTTCATATGAAATGGACCAGAAGAAGTTGTCAACACGATAGAACAATCAAGTTTTAAGGAAAAATTTAATTGAGCTTCTAAAAATAAATTACCATGACATTGTGATCATTTTTCTCATTTTCCAGTTCAAATGAGTTGTTGTTATTCAATTGTTTTTGTCGTCGTGTTCGAACACGACTTACATTTTTCGAATTAAGCTTTTCCGATTTCATATATAATCTGAAATGAAAAAACGTCATATTTACTGTTCCAGTAATTTTTTGTAAAAATATGCATAGTGAAAGATTATTTTAAATTACCTTTAGTCGTGTTTCTCGCACTTTTCCTAAAGTACGATGAAAATTATATAATAATAAGTTCGATACTATTTTATTTTTTCATATAAAAACTTTTCACTCATTTACTATGTAGGTATTGGAACAAAATATACATGTAAGAACGCAATAGAGACGAGACTGAATTGCAAATGAAGAGTGATAAAAATGTCAATTCAGGAACGAGAAAAAGAGCAATTAAAGTTACGCGAGCTTGAGAACAAAGTTCGTATGTTTGTTGCAAAAGGATTCAGATTTGTTTGCTTACAATTACGAATATGAAGCAATAACGACAAAAAAAGAGCACAGTGCTCGTCATCGAAACGGCTGAACTGTTTAGCGAAGCGCTTTATCCAAGAATTGGATTGTTCAGCTGATTGAGTATTGAAACGTTTGACAGTTTCATTTTCGTTAGGATTGAGGTACTTTTGGTACCATTTATCTGTATGGTTCCGAAAATGATAGGAATCAATAGCAAATGAACAGTTATATAGAAAAGTTGAAGCAGGTGTTTGCCGGAAGAAGTTTGGAAAATAGTCAATAATGTGTTTTACAACATGGCAACAGTCATCGTAAACAATTGTTCGTGGTAACCACGAATCAGCTATTGTATGAGGTTGGATTATATTTGTACTTGAGATACGTATTATGTCGCAAAGACCTGCTAAGATTTCTTTAACGGTTTCAGATCGGATTATTTCATGAGCAGCTAATATGACATTACAGTTAAAGACGTAAATAATTATACCAAATATTCGATGACAATTTGAAATATAACTTTCTGGTTTAGATTTCTTTGTATTACATGATAATTTATGATAAGACATACGTCGTTTGCCATTACGAAGTAATATATAATTATCATCATCATCTTCTTGGATAAGATTTGTTTGTTGTGAATGATGGATATGTACATGCTCTGCACAATATCCACGACCATTTAATGGACTTCGATCACATCCGATCGTAAAATGTTCGTATTCAGGTGTCTCGATTGTCTAAACAGAAAAAAAATATTTGATATTTAAAATGAAAGTATTTGCAATTACTAAATTTTTTTTCTAGAATTCAAAAAAAAATGATTGCTGATAATTGGTGTGTTAAATGAAAAACAAAAAATGATTAAAAAATATTCATATAATTTTTATATCAAACATTCTGTATTACAGATACGTTTGGACTGTCCTTCGACATATTTAGAGATTGATAATTATCTATACTTAAAACCTAAGTATTGATACTTGTCGATTCTGATAGAATGTATATCTATCAAAAAAATGTAATAAGAAGACATTGAATAATTTAGCTTCAAGATAACATCGTAAATATTACTAAATGTAAGATTTATATTTATATACATAAACTCTGATTAGTTCCGAATGAAAATAATAATACACAAATACTACTCGATCTTAAAGCATTAACACCAATGCTGTTCAATTCAAACGAACTTAAACAGAATAGGCTATATATTTTCTTATCAAAGAAACCAACTTTTTCTCTGAATGTCATGTCCTTATCTTCAACAACTAACGATTATACCCGATCGTTAATAGGAAGATTTACGTATACGTCTTTAGCGAAATAATAAAACATACATACTAGTGAATGAAACTGGCATATTACTCTTCTGATTTTCTGATTGCCATCTCCAACAATCATTTGAGAACAATGCATACCACAAGAAGAAAATAATTTATGTTGAGACCAGAAATTCACAAATAACACGTGAACGATACGTTGGTATCGATAAAAGAATGTATCAATAACTTTCCCTGAACAATTGTATGGAAAATCAACATTTGGATAACCCATGAAAAACAAAAAATGAATAAGGGCGAAAGAAAGAATACTTCGAGTAAATAGCTTTCGATCTAGTTTTTGATCATCATTGACGATTAGACGGTGCTTGAAATTGTAAACATCAACAAAGGCACAGATAGTAATAGCACCAATACCAAACAAGATAAGATAATCTTTTAATAAAGATGTTTCGAAAGCATATAATCCACCTAGATATATATATTTCGATCCAATAACGTGTGAATGTATGAAACGACGTTCTTTCATCACATTGGTTTGAATAACATAGAAAGATGGAAAATAAATAATTGGATTATTATTACTGAATTTAGTATGTTCATGTTTGCATGTATAAGAATGAACAACAGCATTAACTATTTCACCACTAGAGGAAAACAAAATAGGTTTATAATGTTTATCTGATATTTGTTAAAGAATATTTAACCGAGCACAAGTTACTTGAGAAGGCCTTTATTTAGTCAAAATTCGGTTAGATTGGTTCTTTTGAACAACTAAGATAAATTTATTTCTTTGTCATATTCAAAATATTGCCTACAAAATATCTGTATATTGTACAAATATCCAACTAACCATTAATTTTTTTAGTAAATTCTATTTTTCACGTGGATTACCCAGTAAATTTTTAAAACTTGATTTACATAGAAACTTGTTTTAAGCATAATTTCATATTTTTTAGGAATTTTGAAGGAAAGCTCTTTTAGAATTACTTATGCTGAAAAATAAAAATACCTTTCAAGATATAAATGAACAGTTCGAGCCAAACGTGAGCAATTATCAAAAGTTTTGTTACATTGAACACAATAAGTTTCTTTCGGATATATGTGATATGTTGTGAAAGATGGAAGGTGATTAGCGTTGGAGAATACTTGTATCAGCTGGTTCAAGTTGTCGGGAATTTTAAATCTCGGCAAATCGGTTCCAAAAAAAACCACACGCTAATTGTAAAACTGAAGCACTGATGTGCGTATTGAAAAATAACTTGAAAAATGTTGACATATCTTCGAATTTTGAATAATAATCTGCGAAAGATAGAAATTAATATGCACCATTGAAAAAAATGTAAGATCATTATGAAGTAAGCAGTAACTATTCTTGGAAACTTAAGATTACAAAGGCTTAGCGAAATATTGCAGTCTCCAAAACTCAATGTTACTTGCACGGCTTTCAAAATTAGAAGATAGCTATGCGATGTTAACATTTTTCATTCTACACAGAAAAAATACCTGGCCCGAGAGAATCATTCAGCCAGTCCAGGATTGACCAATATTGGATTGGTACGTAATTTGATAAATTTTGCATCAAAATCCATTGTTGCTGACTTAGAATTGAAGACGTTGTCATCGTTTAATGTTCAGAAAGCGTACATTAACATCTATAAAATACAAATGAATTTCAGTTATATTGAAAATAAAGTTTCATATTTAATACGTGGAAATCTTTAAATGGCGAATTATGTGTTCTTAATGATTGTTTATGTACTTTTTCAGGATTGTAATTGAAGGCAAAAAAAGACATTTCCACCTATGACGGTGTTACTATCTAGTCTTTGATATAATCTTTGTTTCAACAAATAAAGAAAAACATATTCGAAGAAATACATATACAAATGTGATCACACTTATGACAGGACTATATATGTACACATATATCTGTTTTGGTTCAATTACATACAAATAGGGAAAAAACGAGGAAGAAAAACATAACAATCTAATTCACATCTGACAAAAAAAACAAATCTTTTGCGCAAGAATTTCATTTTGACAAAAGATACCTTATACGTCAATTAATCACAACAAAACAAGAGAAAAAAAAAGTTTTTTTCTATCACTCATTTTCAAGAAAAACTTTAGGAAAGTTTTTATTACTGACGAAGAAAGCCCTCAAATAATTGAAATATGATTGAATTTCTAGTTATACAATATATGACAAAGGAAACATTCGTTTTCACTAAGGCCTTTAGAGCATAATAAGATGATCAGATCTATAAATCGAGAAAAATAGATTAAATGTGCATCGTTCACTTTTCGTGAAATATCTTATGCTACATAGAAAAATCAATACATTGTGAACAATACTTTGCTGAAGTGTAGTCAGAAAAACTCCTTCATGTTTTTGTCAAAATGATATCTCCAACATAGAAGCAAATACTATGAAAACGACTTAAATTACTTAGGGACTGTTCATCGTCAGTGGAAGTATGGAGAGAAAGAAACAACAAGGTTTGAGAAGGAATGTTCATAGAAAGAAAAAAAAAGCTAAATAAAGCAAATGTAAAAGAGGAAAAGAAAAATATGACGTATTTAGATAATTACTTATTATATTGAAGTGACTGTTCAATTGGTAAGCGTAACATTAGACCTTATATTGTACTGGACATTGATGGTTAGTCTTGATGTTCAATTGCATTAGACACAAATAATAATTGTTTCTTTGCTTCTTTTCTTTGATTGTTAGCTCGTTGATCGGCACGAGTAGCAGCTAAAGAAGCAGGTGTCTGTTGTGTTGTTTCTTTCAATAGATCACTAGCACTTGGTAATTGAAGAGGTGGTGCAACCATTGCTGTTACTGAACGATTATGTCCGACAGTCGTCGGATTGAAACCAGAAGATAATTGGCCAGCAAGCTGGACTCGTTGCATCGCCATAAATTCTTCAAATTTTTGTAGAAAGTATGGATCCCACGTTTGTTGACCCTGAATTTGTTCAGTTGTTTCATTTGGCGAGACCAAAGCTTGCCGTTGAAATATTGTTGTTGACATTGGTTGTGCATCAACAGTAGCAAGACAAGATGGATCTATATTTCTTTCTCTAGATTGTTGATCGACCATAGTCTATAAAAAAACAAAATTAAGAAAAGGAAATGATCAATTTAAATGCGACCCAAATTAGATTTCAATTAAAGGGCTTATAAAATTTGGTGATCAAAATTTTAAAAGCACTACATCGGATTTAATTCAATACTTTTTAGTTATTTACATTCTGAGTCAAAATGTTCTCGTTATGTGCCATTCAACTAAGACTTGACAAAAACCAATTATGATAAAACTTTTAATCTTATTTGTATGCCTACACTCGACATTATTCTGATGTTGCAACTAAATTGACATGAATGACCTAAATTCGGTGAAAAACTTGTATTATGTGAAATTTAGATCTTCTTAATTAAAATCCACATATAAGAATGTTTATTATTAAACATTAGAACTTTAACAAATTAATTACTTGCTGTGTTGAAAGAAGAGGCATTGCTGAACTGTAAGCAGATGATATTTGAATATTTGTATTTATTGCACTGGAACCATGATTGATCATACGATGCTTGAAATAAATTATTCAAAAAATAAATATAATAATAAGAATGGAGGAAAGTTAGCTTACTGATGATGTTTGATCATTTATTGAACTATATTGTTGATTGATCATAGAACATCGATCACCATAATTATCGTGCTAAGATATTAATAAATGGATTAGACGAAAATAGTAACTGCAGAGAAAAAACACCTGTTCTTCATTTATATCTTCGTTTGTATGAATCATTTCATCACTGTCATCATTGATTGATATATTTGGATTTATATTTGATTTTGAAGAAACAACAGTTGAAGTATGTTCACCATCTATATTTGTAAGAAAATGTGGAAACCTCGGATTTAAATCCGAGAGTTATGTGTACTTCAAAAAGTGAATCAGTCAGATCAGTCATCCTAGAATGTGTGGATATGAAAATTATCCTGGCAAACCCTTTCTATAAACACTTGAATTCTATTGGCTACTGATCAACTAATAGGATTTGGGGGCGAATACAGCTCAGATTTGAACTCTTCGCCTTGATTTACCCTAAGAAAGTCGTTTTTCCAGTAACTTGATTTCTATTGGTCCCTACTCAACCAATGGGATTTCGAGGCAACTGGAGTACAGATTCGAGGTCTCCGATCCAGAAAACATCGAACTATCATCTCTGTGATGGGAAGATAGAGCTCGAATTGTGGATCACATAGAGCGTGGACAAAAACAGAACCGAATTCCGATTAATTATCTTTGCAATAGGCGAGTTAGCTTTCTTGTTTCTGTATGTTTTATATACCATTTTGTAGCTTGTGAAATTCTCTATCGAATGGTATATAATAGTTGGGGGTTTATATGACTATGATAGGAAAAGTTTTTTATGAAAGCAGAGAAGGGTCTATCTTCTCATAGGGAAAAATGACTATTTTTGCAATAACTCAGCAATGGTTCGACCAATCATTCTCATCTTCGAACTCGACCGAGATATTGTAAAGACTAAACTGTGTAGAAAATTTCATCGCGATCGGACTCTCGTTTCAAAAGTTATCGTGTTAACGGCCGGCCGGACGGACACACTGACAGATTCTAGAGTGCACTCACTTTTTGAGTACACAAAAATGAGCCATATCCTAAGCGGAAGATAAAAGGTTCGGATGTCAACATGGTTAAGAATTTATTCGTAATTATAGAAATATATCATTTATTTAATTTTTTTTTGTCAGTTTAGAGAAAGCTGCTTGTTTTGAGTTTCTTCATCAACTGACACTGAAGATACTCAAGATACTGAAGATACTTAAGATCGAATTATAAATAGATATAATAATGACTCAAACCAAAACGATGTCGATTTGAAGTTCACATAGCATATTACTACTCAATAGATGATAATAATAAGACCAACATGGATTTTGTAAATAAAATTGAACAACGCCAATAGGTCGAGCAACACACAAGGGTTATAAGTAAACCAACACTTGGTTTATCATTTGATGTTTCTAAATGAAAATCATTTTTATTACAATTTTTTAATAAAATATGACAACAACATCAAGAAGAAAATTATGTTCTTTTTTATTTGTACATGTAGTACTCAAATCATTTATTCAACAGCACCCTCAACTACTATACAATCCAGTTCTGACGATGGTCTCTCAATGACCGAAAATTTAACATAAAGACAAAAAAGAAAAAAAAAAGAACATCTAATTTCTCTTCTTGCTGTTTTGTCATACTTTATTAAAAAGTTGTAATAAAAATGATTTTCATTTAGAAACATCAAATGATCAACCAAGTGTTGGTTTACTTATAACTCTTATGTGTTGCTCGACCTATTGGCGTTATTCAATTTTACTACTCAATAGTGATTCAAATCATTTCTTTACTATAAAAATAAAAATACTCATATTCGGAAAATTATTCCTCTATGAAACATTTTCCAAATATCTTTTGAAATCTTTTTATTACTTACAGGACAATGTTGGATTATATGAGGATGTGTACGAAGATAATTTGTTAATGGTGGAAGAGCGATGAGTTGACCAATGTCGATTGTCGAATACGTTGGTCGAATTTGATGGATATTGAGTTTAAACTTGTTGAGACGTTCATTAATTTGATCAACTTCCGTAATATTGGAAAAATCGAGTGGAGGTATTTTAATGTGATAATCAAATGGACGACTAGTTGGTGTTTTAACACTTTTTTGAAGTCTTTTTAACAATTTTGCACCACATAATTGATTAATAGCTTTTTCTCTTTCATGCTTCCATTTTGAGCTAAATGAACCAATTTGACATAGTGTAAAGGCAATATGTTTAAAAGAAAGAATTTTTTGAGCAATGATTTGTACACGCTCATCGTTGATTAAAGATGGATTTTTCAACTTGCTTCTTTTTGAATGTTGTTTATTACTATAAATATGACTTTCAGGATTAGATTTATCCGAATTTTCTTCTTCATTATTATCTAATAAATTTGTATTATGTCTTTTTCGTTGAATTTCACCTTCAGTCGCCATTGAAATCATAATTGGTCTTATATCATTGTTTTCAGATTGATTATCAATATCATCTGATGAAGGTGGAAGATTTTGTTCATTATCAACCATGTTGTGTGATTTTCTAAAATTAATTCACTTAATCCATACTATCATGACTTTTAAAATATTTGTTTCTCTTTATTCCTTAGATTCTTTTTGCGCAACTAATTTTGTTTTGATGACATGTCTCATCCTTAAAATACTATTTTTGTAATAAATCTTGCCTCTATATCTAGATTAAATAGAAAAAAATTTTTGGACACCCATAGCATAAATTATGATGTAATCTTACATAAAGACTCTTGAGAGACATTCTAGAAAAATTTTATAAAGGTCCATCATCTGTTTGGTGAATATCTGATAAAATTTCTTTCACCTGTCTCATCATTTGATTGAAAAAACTAAGAACGTCGTTGTGATACTGGAAGAATAACTAATATCTTAGCTGATATATGCTCAGATTTTACTGAGATCAGTTTGCCTCAGAGCAAAATTGTCTATGACATCATAATATCGTGAAGACACAAGCGCAGCATATTCATTATGTTCCTTAAAATGTACGCTTTCTAATATTATATTCAATTCTATATTTGCATACTATCAAGATATGATACTATTCCATAAATATAAAATAAAACCGACAGTAAACTAAAAGTTAATAAGCTGCATAAATGAATATAAAAAAGATAATGCTTGGTCAAGTGTTACTTATCGATAACTAAGAAGTTTAATATTATAGATCATGTGCGACCGACTCTTCGTTTGTAGGTAACCGCATAGACGTGCATACGTAATTGTATAACTTTGTAAAAACACTCGGCTAACGTATGATTTTAAAAACTAGATATTTCGTAAACCTAAGGCATTCATTTGAATACTCAAATAGAATATTTAGATAGTTTAAGAATGAGTGATTCTTAAACTAATCATGCAACTACTAGCAAATATAATGTTATCCAGCTTATAATGTCGACAATTCCCTAAATTTGAATTTCTTGAAATGTCTAAAGTTATTTTTCAGCACGATTGTTGTCAAAAAATAAATCAATGAAGTTCTGCAATTTTTAAAAACTTATAAATTGCGAACAAATTCATATATCGAGAAAAGAACGGAAAAAGCAATTATATTAAAAGCTTACTGAGTGTTTTTTGATGATGATGTTGGTTTCATTATTGGATTAAGATTGTTTGTATTTATTGACAAATTTGAATAATAGGATGCATTTAAGTGGACACTATAATGAAATGAAATATATATGCGATAAGCAATATTTTCTGTTAGAGTTATTGCGGAACTCCTTTAACTCACAGATAATAATCGGAATACAAATCAACTTTAGACTAAAAAGTAGAGTGGTGTCACATATCCCAGATTTTGGAGATGCCACCGCATCTCCAGCGGGAGACGCGGCACCCACACTCTGGAGATGCGGTCATTCACTACTGGAGATGTAAGATCTCCTGTCGAGAGGCGCATCCCCCACACCCACACTCGCATCTTTCGCGCGAGATGCGGCATCTCCCGCAGGAGATGTGGTAGCATCTCCAAAATCTTGGATATGTGACACTGCTGAAAAAGTATGCAAAATAAGTATTGCAATGTTTTTTTTTCATTTCTCATAATGTCACAGGGTTTAAGATTGATTCTTGTCTCAACTGATTTTGGTATATATTATTATTAAGAGAGATATAAATGTATGTATGTAAAAATATTTGCTAACCTTGTTAATCCGTAACCAGAAAAAAAACATTCGTATTGCGCAATATTCATAAGTACTGTATTAATAGCTGATTGAACTACTTGATAATGAATATCGAGTGCAACACGTTGAGATAAATCTGTTCTGTTTAACATTCGACTTGCTAATTCAATCATTTGATTACGAAACAAATTATCAGCTTTGTGATCATTGTAATGCTTGTGCTCGAGATAATATTGATCAAGTAAAACAAATGCTAATTCAATTAATTGAATATTAGCAGCTATTCTGTAGGTGTGTTCACGTGACTTTCCAAGTCGATTATTGATCCATTGGTCACCATTTTGATTTGAATACACTACAAAAAATTGAATATTAAATGAAGAAAAAAAACTACTGGAAGTCAACGTATTACTTTTATAGTGGCTTATTTTTCATATGAAATCAACGGATAAATAGATTCAAAAACTCTTAGAATAATCAAATTTTACATATACCTAAATCTATGTCTCGTAATATACCTTAACTTTCTATCTCATTTAGTATAATTTCAATGTGAATAAACAGCTTCATTCTCTGTCAACCGTAGAACAGACATTTCGAATAGAAAATTTAGAATAATTTCTGTAATTTCTCCGAAGAAAATTTTTAATCTATTTCTCCCTTCACCTTTATATGTGTATGTAAATATTTTCTTTCTTTTCCAGATGAATCCAGCAGCATCATCAGTCTTAGATATAATGAAGAAGAATATGTTGATATAATGAAACGATAAGGCGTATCATTATGATATGACATTTTCTCTTCAAATCAAAACCTAAAGAGATCCGAAATTTTCTCAGTAATTCATAAACATACGAAATATTATTGATTATATTATTTGCAAAATTTAATTTCTTTAAAGAATAATCTGTGTGAAGCGTTTCCTGTTTTCTGAGAATTAGCATTAATTTTAAAGATCAGTTGTACATACAAAAATTAATACATACCATGAAACATAAGTGCATTACCAAAACTGATAATCAATTGACGACTGTGATCATCGAAATAAAAATCAATATTACCCAGAACGTCCAATGTCATACAAATTTGATCTACAGTAGGTTCTGAAGATGGCCATTGTGGTTGTTGGAACTTTTCAAGTGTGAATGGCATTGGTACCCAAAATATATTACACCGTTCAACAAATGGTGATGGTTGTTCATAATTATTTTTGCGGCGCATCAACCGCATTGTACTTTCTGATGTACAATTACCCAACATACAAAGTTTTTTGCATGTGATATGAATTGATTCGGTAGCCGTGCTTTTAAGGACACAGCATTCACCTGTATAAGCTTGTAATGCAATATCGTTTATATTAAAATTATCATTCCCACCATTTGATGGTAAGGTAAGTGGCGGTATTAAAAAAGGATCAGCCTCATCTGCCAAAATAAGTTGAGGAAAA